CCAGTATGGTGGGCAGCCGCACTTCGACGTGCAGGATCCGAGCCTCACGGTCTTGATGATTCTCTCACGGGGATACAACGCCCGGAGCTGAGATGCCGAGATGATGTGCGCCTCAGGCTTCAAAGCTCGAGGGAATCGACTTAAGCTCAAGGGGTGAAGCATATTTGGGTTAGATTTGCCAGGATTTGTTTGGTAGGGTGAAAGTGATACAATTGGCCGCCACGAAGGATAGGCGGCCCAGGTGGACCGCATGTGTTGTTTTCCCGCTGGATTCGCTTGCTCCGCCCAGTTGCAGACCTTGAAGTGGGAGCGCGAGGCTGGGAGAACCAGAAAACATCCAGAAATATCCTGAAGGTAAGGCTATTCTCTGACTGGCTGGCGGCTGAATCACTGCAATCCCTTGGATGTTCGATGGATTTTCCCGGGAATATGAGAGCCATCGGTGTCCCACTGGGAAGATTGTTTGTCAATGGCAGTGGGGTGAAGGAAAAATAGGTTGGCTTTCAGGTTTGCTTGAGAAGTCGTGGGGTCACTTGGTGTTGGGCCATAGGTTTGCGCCTGATTCTTCAATCAGGATTTAGATGGATTTAACATGCTCATTGAGATACTCATTCAGATACTCACAGACGTCATGCAAAGCCTGACCTCACGACCTCATGGATTCCATCCAGCTTGACGACCGTCTCTATGCGTCCTGGTTCCAGGAGGAAAGCATGGCCGACAACCTCTTAATGTGGGAGGACGACAAGGAACGAACGCCGGCCTTGGCCGACTTCGCCCTTCTTCGATCGGTCGTTGATGTGATCTGGCCTTCTTGATTTCGACTGGACTGGGGTGAACAAGGAGGTTCACATGGGCTTTTCAACGTTTTGCATGGGTCAGACGGAATTTATGGCGTATACATCGCGACGAGACCGTCAGACGTGGAGACGTGGGACCGTTGAATGGATGCTTGACGGGTGTTCTGTGAGCCGATGCTCCTCGTCACCACTGGGTTTCGTGGGATGAATTAATCTTCGCCGCAACCTGCGTCGATGCTTCTGCCAGCCCAGTGGATTCACTGTGTCGAACCAGCTCAACCCAACCACCTGCCCAAGCTCTGGCATATCCCTAAACCTTCAAGAAGAAGAATATTTGGACACTCCAAACCCACCCCAAACACCTTCTCAGAAGGTACTGTACTTGGAGACCCATGGTACATGTTTGCATGATTTTGCATGTCTTTTGCATCTCCAGAGCTTGCACATGGTTCTTAGGTTTGGAAGGGGGCCAGGGCCCCACCTGAGGCTATCAATGGGTTGCTGTGGTTTGGTGCGGTTTGGAGCATTTGCGAACGTCCTTGTGGTGCATGGCTGGGTGTTCGGCATTCTCGCCAGGCAACCATGCTGGTGGTGAAGTACTTCTGTGTGGAAACCAGAAGGCCACGCGGCCACGTGCCGCCGCGAGACGCACGGGCAGAGTCTGCCCACTTCGGGTCCGCGAGTTCGCCGTTCGCTCGGTGTTCCCGAACTCGGCAGGATCGTCACTCTCGGCTGCTACTACATGTCCAACTCCGAACTGTTGAGGTCTCAGTATGTCAGTTCCTACCGGTTCATACAGCTTCGGGGGTTTGGGAAGCGCTTCCAGAAGGGTCGGGTGCTCTCGGACTTCGCACTGGAGCGCGATCCTGTTGATGGATTGATCAGGATTTATCATTGATCTTAAGGCATTATCAGTCATTGGATGTCGTTCCTGGCGCCTGAGGCTGATCAAAATGGTCGAAGGGGGTTGGGTTGGAGAGCGTCTTCAACCCTTCATGGACAAGAACGAGGCGTGGAAGTGGAATGGCCATCGGGCGTGTCTTCAAGCGAGGACGTTCCCGGAGGGGTCATAGAGTGGGGTGCAGACGTGTAAATCATTCTCATCCTATCTCCAAACTGATATGGCAAGTTACCCAAGTTACCGTAGTTGGGGTTTGAACAATGACTTCCCCCCCCGTGAGTCCTTGGTGATGTCCGGTGGTTTGGGCCACTGAGTGACCTGTTTGCTGCTCTTCCGTGGGACGGAGCAGCTGGTCTCTCACCCTCCTGTAGATAGTATCCAGAGGAGTGAGAAACTAATTGCACCAGCAGTCACGTGGAAGACGGGGTGCGATCCATGGAGGAAGTTGGGGTGCCACGCACGTCACATCCACTCGCTGGATGGGACTAAACACCACCCCGACATGTGACTCCTGGTGAATATTAGGTAGCTAGATCATAATTTGGTTTGTCCACTATTATAGGAGATGCAGGAAGAAGAGACGAAACACAACAAAGGGACGGAGCCAACAACTTGTGTCCAGGAACCTTGTGGGGTCCAGGCTGCCTGTTGAATAAACCTATAAAGACATATTGATCAATACAAGGTCAAGAGTCAAGACCTTGGAGCACTTGCTTTGATTCATGCATGGGCACTCAACCCAATAGCAATGGCCTGATTAAGCAACACTAAATTGAAGATGCCCAGGCCAGGCCAGGCCACCAACATCTTCCAATTTGGATTCGGTGTTTGTGCACGTGTGTTAGGCCTAATGTTTGCGTTCATTGGCCCGGTGCACATCACCAGCATCACAAAGCCTCAGAGTTTGTAGGGTACAGAAGATTTTTTCTCGTGAACTGTTTCACTTGAGACAGTTTTCAATGTTCATGGCATGTTCAAGGCCTAAAAATAGCTAAATAGATCTAAATAGCTTTTTTAGTAGATGACACAGATTCCATCACCTTCCAAAAAGGATGCTACGTTCGGGGCTCCTGGCCTTACTACTAGGAGCAAGGACGCTGCTAGGAGCTCAAAGGCTCATTGGCTTTTGGGGGTTTCCCACACGCTCGACGTCGTCAGGTGGCTGTGATTGATCCCAGCGAGTGCACCTGGGACTGCTGGGAGGCTAGGCTTCCAACCCCCGGCCTTTGTTGAAAAACCTTCGCCAATGGGCCATGAAAAAATGAGAATCAATGAGAAGAGGGCAGGCCAAGAGGTCCTGGGAAGTGGTAGAAAATGGTCGAAGCCTTGGAGTTGAGGGCAACACTCACCTGATTTCGACCTCTTTTCACCTGATTGCAACTCTGTACTGGCGCAGGGGTAGTGCCAGTCCCAGAGGATGTGAAATGATGTGAAGTGTTTTGCCTCCCAGGATGTGGTGGCAAGTGTGTCATCTTCTATCTAATCTAATTATGACATATCGGAATCATCCATTCTATCTCCAGGAAAGAACGATTTGCGCAGTTCTCCATCTGCTTCACTCCCCTGGTGCTTCACCTCGGTTTTGCGCTGCGCAGAAGCTCGTCCTCTTCTCACATCGCGTGCCAGGAGTTTAGTGAACGAGAAATGCAGTCGAGAGGTGTGAAGAGGGGGGCAAGGGCTCCCAGGACGGATGTGACCTGCTCGGTCACCTGCGACGCGGAGTGAAGAGGATGGTGCCGCGGAGTGACGGAGGATGGTGACGAATCAAGACATGGACCAGTCACGTGGTTTGATGGGGGGTGCGATCCATGGAGGAAGGATAGGGGTGCGATCCGCACGTCACATCGGGCCTTTACTGGCTGGGACGGTGACAAACCAGGCCCGACTCCATGTCACATCCAGGGGAATCGACATGGGTGACGAAGGGGAACAAACACACCGGTGTTTATGGTGTGATGGGCGCATGGCCCGGGATCGATGGTCTCATGGTGTTGATCTTGCCGCGTCTCCGGGGACACACGGAGAGAGCGTCCCGAAAACGCGCGGAGACAGCCGGGATAACCCGTCTGCATGGGTGTTGGGGCCGGTGTTGGGCCATCGACTCGGAATGCTAGTGAGGTGAAGCACGAGCAACTCTATTCTGGCGACATTCTCATTTGGCAAGTCGTTGGGTGCCTCAGACGCTCCATCCAGATCGATACACATCAACGCATGCGTCAACAGTCCGGCATTTGGAAACACATGTGAGCTCGAATTCATGAAGACGATATTACTAATTACAGTAATCAATTATGAACATTTATACGTGATATAGTTATTGTATAATTAATGGACATGGATAATCATGGAGATATGGGAAGATGGAGCTACCCGCCTCGACTTGGCCCGCCGCCGTGCCGCGCTCCTCCCCGAGACCCGACCTGCTGAACAAGAGGTGCTGAGCCTCAGGGCCCGCTGTATACCGCGTTCGTGTGGTTCGTTGATTTCAAGTATTCCTTGGATTCTGAACCTTTGACCGGGCATTTGACTCTACGGAATTTGGGGATCACCGGAAGCTTGATGTTTATGGACCTGGGGCAATTTCCAACCTCCAGATCAAACTATGGGAGCCTCCTCGAGCAGGATTGATGCGGATTCCGGGCCGGTTGTATGTGGTTCAGCCATTTGCGGTCGAACTGGCCATCTCTCATGTGGCCCTATAGCAATTTCTAAGACCAATCATAATATAGGTGCCTATATGTGTCAGCATCCCCCCGTTCTGAAGAACAATCCAACATTGGAGTCCACCATTTTAAGAATCGCTTTACCCCGCCGACGGAAGCGCGGACCAACCGGTCGCCGCTCCGGCCGAGGTGCCGTCGGAGGAGGGCATCGCCCCCGTGTGCGCACAGCGCGTCGGCTCACCGCGCGCGCCGATTTGGGTGAGTTGGATGTATAAAGGGCATCGCTACGAACGGAGCAAAGGGCATCGCTACTAGTAGCTCGTGGCATTACTAGTAACAAGAAGCTACTAGTCATGAGAAGGGAGACGTTCGCATGGGGAAATAGACCCCCTGGAAGAAGGGAAATAGACCAGTCTACGCATTGGCTGGGGGGTCTCCCTATTTGGGACCTTGGCCATCTCGGATGCAGGTATCCCATTCACACTGTGGCCGACCTATGTGCCAACCAGGCGCCCATCGCATTCACGTACTGAGCAGTTTTACGGATTGTTCTTCATGCAGATGGCCTCTCATGATGAATAAAATCTGATCATCCCTCACGGTGTGCGGATGGATGTTGGATTGACTGTTCCTGCGAGGTTTTTGGGCTCTGAACAGATTACCTGCTACACACCTTCGAATCATGGCACGCTCTTCGATGAAGGTTTTGTGCGCGGCTGCTGCGCTGGTAGCAGTGTACAACTTCTGCAACAGCTGGAGTTTTGTGCCTGGGCCATTGAGGAAGCACGCGCCTGTGGCTGCTGCATCGGCGGCGGGCGTGATGATGGCTCCAGCGGCCTTTGCCGATGAGATCGGCGATGCCGCTAAGAAGCTGGGTGACGCTTCCTATGCCTTCGCCAAGGAAGTCGATTGGAACAACGGCATTTTCTTGCAGGCCCCAGGCAAGTTTCAGCCCCTGAAAGCTCTGAAGGCGATTGATAAGATGATCGACATGGGGGCGGCAGCAGACCCCAAGCTTCTGAAGGCAGCAGCAGAGGCCCATCACAAGGCCATCGGAAGCATCTCGGGACCCAATGGTGTGACCTCCCGCGCAGATTGGGATGCGGTGAACGCCGCTTTGGGCCGTGTCGTGGCGTCTGTCCCCAAGGCAAAGGTCATGGACGTCTACAATTCTGTGAAGGACATCACTGACCCCGGTGTTCCTGCATACATGAAGTCTTTGGTCAATGGTGCGGACGCCGAGGCGGCCTACAAGGGCTTTTTGGAGTTCAAGGATGTGGTGGAAAAGCAGCCTGCAGTTCAATGGTAAAGTATTTGTTTCTCAAATGCCCTTGATTGTTTCTTTAAACTCATCTACTTTCTCAAAGTCCCTTGAGCAAAATGAGCAAATCTGAGGAACCAAGTGACCGCAGCCAGTGCTCCTGCCTCCGTGCCCACTGGAGACAAGATTGGCGTGGCTGCAAAGGCCCTTTCGGATGCATCCTACCCTTTCTTGAAAGAGGTGCAGGGTTGCAAAACACCTTTTGAGGTTGATTGTTTTCATATGCTTTCACTATGCATGCATGGCAAGCTTTTGTCAATGATGCATCATTTCATTTTCTCTAAAAAACGGCGTTTTGTTTGTTTGTTTTCCACTGATTCGACTGGATTCCGGTCGTGCGGGCCCTCAGGTGGACTGGCTGTCTGACGTTTACCTGAAGCCGTTGCCAGACACCACAGCCCCCAAGGTGATGAAGGCCATCGACAAGATGATCGTCATGGGCAGCCAAATGGACGGAAACTTGTTGAAGGCTGCTGCGGCCGCCCACCACAAGGCCATTGGCAGCATCGACGCTAAGGGAGTGACCTCTGCCGCCGACTACGAGGCCGTGAATGCCGCCATCGGACGCATCGTCGCTTCGGTGCCAAAGGCGACGGTGATGGATGTGTACAACTCCATGGCTGCAGTGGTAGATGGATCCGTTCCCACCAACATGTTCTCCAAGGTGAATCCTCTGGATGCCGTCGCCGCTGCAAAGGGCTTCTACACCTTCAAGGATGTGGTTGAAGCAGCGCAGCGCTGAGGCAATTCGGCTGTTGCACATCGGCCGAGGCCCCTGGTATCGAACCATGGGACCCCATTTTACAGGGCCATGGGTCTATACCACTTCGAGTATTTTATTTTTAATGTTCCATGTCCATGATGAGCTCACAACTACAAGAGGGGTGAGCCGACAAGGCTGTTGTGCTTGGCCAACAAAGGACATGGCGGCGTGCTGCGCGTTTGCTCCGCTGGACGTTTGATCGATTTAATGGGCTTTGATGGCATTTTTCACACGGTGGAATACTTCAATTGGTCACAGTCTATGAAAACGGATCAAAGCTGACTAGCGTAGACACTTCGTAGAGGGCCCATGCTGCACAAACGTGGCGATGTCTCCCAGGCAGTTGAATTCGGTGGCGCGGTGGCGCGGTCGGTCGCCCAGTGACCACTCGGAGCGAGCGACAGGTGAATTCGGTGGACGTGACGGTGCTGCTACACGACCGCAAGCAACCTTTGTGTGTCGATGGCATGGCCCGGGAGACCTGGGCAAACAGGGCATGGGGATGGCAGGAAGACGAGTCACCTGACGAGAAACATCGAGAAACAGAGTAGATGAGTAGTGTAGAGAGAAAGTGCTAGAGCAGCCCTGAAACATGCCCTGAAACGCAGGCAAAGACCATGTATTTGCAGGAGTCTGGTCAAAGACCAGGGCATGGTTGTCTCTGCTGGGCATGGTTGTTTCGCTGGATTTGCAAGACCATCGATCATCTACCATTGGCCTCCACAGTCTATCCATGCGGGACTTGGAGACCGGAACCTCAGATCGCACCCAGTCTCGATGCCAGGTGGCCAACGGCCATTGGGGGTATGGCCGGCATGGGTTGTTTCGGACTTTTCTCTTAGGGTTTTCAGGTTTCTTAGACTCATTCTCCAAAGAAGAAACCATAAGAACACGTGGGAACATGACGTTCTCGGTGTTATACTTGTAGCAGAACAGGAGACTGTTAAACAGAAGCCGGATCGAGTGTGTGATGGTCCACTTGCTGACATTTGATGGCCATGGGATGCCATGACGGACGTTGAATGTTTGGAGGGCAGCCCATAAGGGTGAACCTGGGGATGGATCGCCAGGACGCTCCGACTGCCAGGGGGTGTGAGGGGCCTTAGAGGTGTTGGTCGGGGACACACACACGCACACACACACACTGGGGTAGTGGTAGAGAAAGAACTCTCTACACAACGCTGGAAAAACCAGGTAATTACTTGTTGCCCGAGTTCATCCACAACTGCAGGAAAAACGACACATGCACCTGTGGAAAGGTAGGAATCATGGTACTTTGTGCTACTCTTCCTTTTGGGGTGGATGGATGTCCAAATGGACCTGCTCGATCTTTGTTGAGCAAACAGGGCAGAATTCATCAGAATTCACTTGGTTGGAATCAAGGTGTCACGGGTCTATGTTTTTTGTGTGTTCTACTTCGGATGAGTTCCTTTCCCTTTCCTAGTTGATTGAAAGATAACCATTGTAGACAAAACATGGCAAAGACACGCACACACGAAAAAGATCAAAACAGGAGCCGGACCTTCTTTCGTGGTTGTTTGTTCGCCTATTATGTCCTTGTGTTGAATAGACACTGTCGCGACACATGTCGCGCCTGTGAGGAAGCTGGAAAGGAGGAGCGTCCAGAGGCGGATACGGGCGGGAAACGGATGGCAGGGATGTATACTCCTATTATCTCCTATTGAAGTTTGGTCACCGTAAGCAGTGTGAACTGGATTCATGAGTGAAGTATTGACGATAGACAGATACCACTGATTCGTAGTTAAACATGATGGAAAGAAGACCATGACCAAGAGACGGTAAAGAAAAACCAGAGCCTTTTCCCCCAAAGAAGGCATTGGTACCCTTGATTGTACCCTCTGTTGATCTCAGAATCCTGTTGACCCATGATTCCGACCGCCAGGATGCGGCGTTGGCCTTCTCTCCGGCCGAGTTCGCCCGGGCGAAGGAGGGGGGTCGTTCACCGAGTTCGCCCGGCGCTTCGGTGCGGTGCCGCGAGCGCTTCGGTCTCCCAAGAAGAGACCGGCACCGGGCGTGGCATGGATCGAAAGACGACTTTCCTCGAAAAACGGTGGTTTTTGAAGGTTCGATATCCATTTTCCATAACGCTCGAGTGGCTGGACCATTTATGTTTGAAAACCACGTGCACCAATGACCTCCTATACCACTAAAGCATCACTGACCGACGCTTTGTTCGTGGATGCGGTCCCGCGAGGTTCTTGAGCGGTAGATTCCGATGTTTGGGTGATCAAAGAGGTTCCCAGTCTCCCATACTGGTGCATCAGGGCAACATGTGGTGCTCAGCGAAGACGCAGGAACAGGAGATTAAAATGGATTTTAGATGGTTCGGAACTCAGTGTGCAGGGGCTTTGATTGGTATGGCAGCATAGATTTGTTTGCATGTTTCCCTCCACCTTAGATCACTAGGCCCTGTGTCATGTGGCTTTGGGTTTTGTTGTGTTTCCCAACCCTCTCCATCCAACCCCCAAGCCTGAGAGGTCACAAGGGTCACATTGGATGACCTCCGATGGCCCTAACCAGTTCCAAGATGGTCCAAGGGGTCGAGACCAGGAGGTCTTGAAGATGGAGCAGCCGAGCAGGTCATGTGAAATCAGATGCGCTTTGCGCATGTAGATTGGACATAGTATTGGATATATACATACTGTATGTTACTTCGCGTGCAGAGCTTGTTGGGACTTAGGTGACAGTGGGTCCAGCAGAGAAATGTACCTTCTTCCAGACTTTGGTGGATGATCACTCACCGACCCAGGTGTTTCAAATGCTGCGGCGAGACCCGCAAAGGCCTCGTACCAACCATCCGGACTGCCGCCTTCGGTCCCTTAGGCTTGTCCAACATGTGACGCGGATCATTTGTTCGAAGTCGGGGGGCCCTCAGGTCGAAGTCGGGGGACGTCACGCGGCGGTCGTGACGCGGGAGATGGGCAGGCTTGTTGGACGGGTGCAGCCGTCACCATCCGACAGGTTTCCCATGATCAATCGATGGCCAAAGAGGGGCGAGAGAGCTCTTCTCCCAAGGGATCAGATAAACCGCGTTTGGTTTCTGAGGGAAGGTGGTTTATCGTGGAAGGCCAAACGCAGCGTTTCATCTTGTTCACATCAACTCAGACGAGAGGACACCCTGGGCACCTGGCCAAACATAGAGTTGGTGTGCACAAACAATTGTATATGGTGTCGACGTACCAACCGGGTGGATATCTATTGTCGAATCTAGCCTGAAGGTTTACCCGGTTGAGCACCATTTCTACTAAGGACCGCTTTGAACGTGTTTGGTATTGCTGTATATACTGTATTCATCATTGAAGCAAGCTTCGAGATTGGACCTTCACGAGAGGATAGACCATGGTTTGAAAACGGAAGGCCATGTTCCTCTATATATACTTCTATATACACGTGACATGGTTTTTGCGGGGTCCATTTCGATCTCGGGTATGTCTCATCCAATTCTCACCTGTGTGTGACCCCTTTGCCTGTGACATTTGATGGAAAGACGAACGCCCAGCAGCGACGAACGGAGCTCCCAGAGGTCGTCCCTTTGAGCCAGGAGCTACTTGTAGCGTCCGATCGCTCCTCCGTTCGTAGCGAACATTGCTCCTAGTAAGGCCAGGAGCTACTAGCAGTGTCCTTGCTAAGTATAATTCTGGACTCAAGAGTACTATAGAACAGGTCACTTTGATGTGCCGTGCTGCCGTCCGTGTTGGCCGCATCGGGTGGCAACACCCCAGAAAAGCAATACTTCTCGGAATCCGAAAAAAGATGTGGGTGTTGGCTCGACACACCCAGGTTCGGGCTAACAGAGAAGCCCGGGGAAAATGCAATTTGGCTATTTCATGCTCCTCCATCCTGCACAGCCGAGGCGTTTCCGGGGGGGGGGGGCGTTTCTGGTGGTTCTCAGACGCCAAGACCCGTGTTTCCTGCAGATTGGGATTCCCCAAAAAGCCGAACACTTCGCAGGGTGCTCCCCACTGGATGACCTGGTTCCAATGTGCATCATCTCGTGGAGGTCACGGACTGTCACTGGTGTCATTCTTTCATTGTCCCAGAGGGGGCCTCACCACGTCAGTGTTCAAGCCTTTGGTGGAATATAAGCTGAACGGATGGCTTCAGGTCAGACCAGCACCTTATGGACAGTGGAGTGCAGAATAGCACTGGAAAGTAGGGGCTTCATGAAGAGTGACTTGCCAAGAAGTGTTTGAACTTCCGGGGTGAACATGTCCGTTCAAATCGACTGCCGCTCTTGATGCCCCCTAGGCCCCAAAAGAAGTAGAAGGGCTTTGGACATTGTCAAAATGGTTCCTCAAACTATAGATCGATTACTTCCAAGGTCATTTATCATGGGTAGTATCATCGGTTTATCTTGCATTTGTTCTCAAGATGAAAGGGTAACACATGGTAACACATAATCGATCAATCGAAAGGGCGATCTCCGCCTTCCTGGCCTCCAGTTCGGCACCGGTTGCGAGCGCCGATCTCGGCGAGCACGGAGGACGCATTGAATTCGCCACCTCTACGCGAGCAGACAACTCTGAAGGCCCAGCTGTCGACGTGTTTGAATAGGTCTGCATCCGAAGGCAACCTCTTCTTGGCCCAAACTGTAAACACCATCAGACCTTCTTCTTGATCATTTTGCCCATGGTGTCGACACGAGGTGTCGACACCGGATGTGACGAACCATGGATTTGCACAGGATCGCATGTTGGTTCGACGCAGCGGTTCCGCTGCTGCCCGGACGCGGACTCAGGAGCTGCAGCGGAATTTATCTTATTTGTCAACGACCACAAAGCGACAGTTGACCCTCCATGCTGTAGAGTTGTCAGGACCTCAGGATGCGACGGATGTTTGGAGACGAAGGGGCCGACATGAATTCGATGCATCTGCAAGGTGTTTCAGGGCCCTCTTCAGGGCGAAAGAGTGTTCCAAATGCAATGGAACTCCTGCTTTTCACGTGCCCACACCATCCAGTTACCACTATAGCTGGTAACCAATGGTTCCAAAAACTAACACCATAGACTCATAGACCTAGAATCCCTGGTTCCTGGGTTGGGCATCCACCAAGTTTGCCGCGTTTTTCGACCCCTTGATCCCCAGCACGGACGTCCGCCCCACGGTTTCTGCCACTGAGACCGTTCCAACCTGGA